GCTCCCACCCTCCTCCCACCTCCCAGTCCCAGCCCTGCTGGGCTCCCACCCTCCTCCCACTTGCTTGGTCAGACCACTGACCACCTTCCAGTGTGTGGAGAATTCACATATGTAGTGTTCACTGTTTCCCTCACACACACAGGGGCCTTCCTCCACCCATGCAGGTCAGGCACACAGAATGGCTTCGCGCAGTGGGCAGGTCAGGCACCCAGAACGTCCTGGCATGGTGCCTGCACCCATGGGTGTTGTAAACAGTGATTACCACGGCCTGTAAGTCACCCTCCCATCGCTGCTCAAGTCCGAGGCTTGCTTAAGCCGTTCTCTACGCCTTTCTACCGTGCCTTCTCAGCTACGGCACACGCCCCTCACGGGCAGGCCTGCGTCCTCATCCCCGGAGTCCCTGCACCACAAGCCAGGTGGGCACAGCTACTCTAACTGTGGGGCTGAGGCTCACCCGGGGCTCACCGTGCACATGGCAGAGAATGCCCTGGGACCCCCAGTTCTCTACCATTTGCGTTACAGAGAGCTCTCAGCACGCCCTGAGAAGCATCCAGAGATGTCCAGTATTCAACAAGAAGAAAACTGAGGTTGCGGAGGCCATGATGGAACAGGAGACAGGACGAACCCAGGCCCCGCTGCATGCCTGGCCACCTCCCACTAAGCCACAGGACCCCTTCCTTGCAGTGAGGACGGGTGCGGGAATCACGGGAAGGGCTCTCCAACACAGTGGTCTCCCAAGCTGGCTCTGCAACTTCATGAATTTACAGGAAAATACAAATTGTAGGAATACAAAGATGAAGCTGAAAAGTGTCCTGTTTCAACTACCAAGAGCATCGAGCTTGGACCCTACGGCCCAAACCCCAAAAATCTGTTCCCACTGAGACTAAAACATTGAAACAATCAACACAGAGGAAGAAGTGCTTGGTTTAAGTACTATAGTAGGTATCAAAAATCCCTCGGGTTTTGGAAACAAGCTTCCTAACTTTGTAGATACCTGAGACATGTTTGACCGTCTGTATAATGACAACCAACCCGTCTGTGCTCCAGACAAAAAGAAGCTGGCCGGGAGGGTGGGGTTTGTAGGATCAGAGGGAAGAACAACCTCAAGTGTTTCGGCAGCACTCTTGTACCCTCGTGCATAAAAGCATACAGCAGCAGCTCTTTGGTTTCGATATTCAGGTCATGTCCAAAATAATCAGTCACCACTCAAATGCTGGCGGGTGACTGGCATGCCTCAGGAAACCCCAGGCTGAGCAACTTTAGTGACTGGCAGAGGAACCCAGCCGCTGGCAGTGGTCACAGGAGAACCCAACCATTAAAATCACAACGAAATCCTTACATAGAGCCAGCTATGGCCAGGGTTGCACCACAGTCACCGTGAAACCCAACTTTCACAACGCCACTTAGATGGCTTCAGGAGAGCCCAGTTGCTGACTTTAGATGCAACGCAGGCCAGCTGCCACCGCAGGAGACAAGAGGAGCAGCAGCCAGCCCACCGGCAGGATACACCCTCAGAGCACGAGTCAATCAAAAGATGCGTCCTCAGAACTGCCCTCCTGCTAGCCTCACGCCACCCCCTCCAGGAGAACTGAGTCCATGCACAAATGGAAAACAGGTTAGTCACAGGGGAGAAGATATACCTAAAACACACAGCTGTACAGGTTAAGAGAAATGAGTAAAAACTTTAACATTTAAATTCAACTGTGTATAAATCAAGTTGCCAGTTCAAACCCTGGCTCATACCCTTTGAAGAAAATACAGATATTCATCTAGTTCTCTCCTCCTGAGTTTACATTGTCCTGAGGCGTTAACTCATTCCCTCCATCCACATTTCAGGCCCCAGCCTGGGCAAATGCCCCTGACAGCCACTAAGGAGATCCAGAGAACAAACCAGCGCCCGAGTGCCTCCCACAGAGCGCGGTGGGTGAGGAGGGTAGGAAACGGTGCAGGCGTTGCCGGCAGACACTACCAGATGGCAGCTGGGGCAATAGCCCGCTTCTGGGCAGCCCTCGGGACTCTGAGGGTCTGCGAGGGGCTCCGATTCCTGCAGGTGCTGCTTTTTCTACCTTTTCTGACAGCACTGAGCAGCTGCACGTAACAGAGGGAGCAGGAAAAATCCTATCGTGATGGGATCGAAAGATCACCTTGCATTTAACTGCCATTTTCCACTTACAGCATTTTATCTCATGGTATTTGATGGAATTTAACAGCCATTTTCCACTTAAAGTGTTTTGTCTCATGTTATTTGATGGACATTAAAAAAAAAAAAGCCTCATGAAGTAAGAATTTCATTACTCTCACCTTGGTTTTGAGGCAAAAGCCAGAAGGACAAGTGTGATGTGTCCAGTTAGGAGTGAGCACCACCTTCAAGTGCACGCTTCCCGCCACCGAGGTGACACTGGGGCCCACCCAGGTGGAGAAGCAGCAGCCCCACCAAGCGGCCCTCAGCGGATCCTGAGAACCCACAAGAGCCGCTGGGGAGATGGGAAGAACACGCACACCCCACACATGTGCCTCTGCTGTCCTGAGCCCCCTCAGCCCAAGGCGCCCACGGCCCCCGCTGGTGGGAAGGCCTGGTCGAATGTCGCTATAGGCAGAGCCTCCCCCGCTGCGGTGCCCAGGACATGAGGAGAACAGAAGAGCTCGGCATCCGGCTACTGAGGCTCATGGGATCCCGGCGGCGTAGTGTCACCCGGCAGCAGACCACCCTGTCCAGCCTCAGTCCCTGCCTTCCCCAGGCATATCCCCACATCACGCCCATCAAGGACCCCCAAAGGCCGGGACAGGCTTGCCCTCCAGGCTCAGCCAGGCAGCGTCCCTGCCACCACCTGTGCCTCTCCCTTCCTGGAGACATGTCCTGCGGTCCCCAAAGAGCCGAAGGGTCCCCATCACCGTTAACTGCCTTCCCACTTTCCAGAACCCCCATCCCTGACTCTGGTGGTTCAAATCCTAAGCCGACTCCCAGCTCTCGTTCTGTGTGGCCATGAGAGGGGCTGTGGGAAACTAGACGAGAGAACCAGAAGGGCTTGTAATCTTGTGCCTTCGTGGGTGGCATGCACTTATCAGTCACAAAGGAATGAAAAGCAGCACCCCTGCTAATGCCATCTCAAGTGCAAGGGAAAGTGCAGCACGCCACGGAGTGCCAACAATTCATTTCTTGAAATTACAGACTTGAGCGCTGCCTCGAGAAACAAAAGGCGTCTCGCAGCCTCTGCCAGGTGGAAGCCAGCCGGCACGCCCCCTCCCAAGGCAGCATGCAGCCCACACCCCTCACATGTCCAGCCCCAGGCCAAGCAAGCCACCTTCTCCAAGCCTGCTGCCTCACTCCTTTATGAGAAAAGACTGTGGGGTCACACCTGTCCTCGGTCTGTTAGCATGAGAGCCCATCACAGCCACTTGCAGGGCCACCTCCAGGTCACAGCATCTGGGTACTTGCTGAGGAGGCTCCGCCCACTTTTCTGCCAGGAGCCCACACTGACCAGACCTTCTTCCCAGCTCTAGGTCACTGTGGGGGGCTCAATATCCCACGGCAGACAGACAAACACCCACCCCTGTGTGGAGTCCACATTCTGCCCTTAAAGATGCATATAGGGCAGTATCACCATTTCACCCCACAGAGAACCTAGAGAATAAACAAGCGCTTGACCGCCCAAGTTCAAAAGAACCCATGTCCTGTGTCCTGGGCTGAACGGTGTCCCCACAGAACTCATGTCCTGCCCAGGACCCCAGATTGTGACCTGACTTGGAACTGGGGTCTCTGCAGATGTGATTATCTAAGTTGTGATGATGTCATCCTGGAGAAGAAGGGCTCCAAATTCCGTGACTGTCCTCATAAGGAGAGGAGAAGGAGACACGAGGAGACACAGGGAGACGCCAGCCATGGGGGACACGGGCAGAGGCTGGAGGGATGCGGCCAGCACGGAAGCTGGGAGAGGGAAAGACCCTGCAGAGTAAGCGTGGCCCTGCTCACACCTGGATCTCAGGCATCGGTCTCCAGACCTGTGTGAGGACACAAGTCTGTTCTAAGCCAGCCAGGCTGGGAGCTTTGTTACAGTGGCCACGGGAACCTGTGAGGCACCCTGCAAGACACAACAGGGCCAGGACGCACACCTGCCCACACAGGGACAGGGGCAGGTGAAGCGGCCCCTGGCAGCCGCTGCTTCCCGCTAGGAAATACCAGCTGCC